AAAATATGAAAACATAAAGAAGATGCATATTCTCTGTCATATGGACCTGCATGAATAAACTTTCTGAATCCTTTATCATCTGCAACCGAAAATAGTTGTGGATGATTACTATACCTTTCTAATGTGACCTTGTTGTCCATGGCTCTCTTTCTCTCTCTCTCCCTCCTGCTCTGTTCCTGTGCTACTGTGAGTGTAACTACCGCCCCTCCCCCCTTTTCCCAGCGTAAAGCACAAGGCTCGCATGCTGAGTGAAGTGGAAAAAAGTGCGAGAGAGAGGGTGAGAGAAAAAAAAACAAAACACAGCTTGCGATAAGGAGCCGACTCGCGTCGTTCACGTCAAAGAGGCGGCTCTAAGAGCCATTTCGTTCGCGACCGACCCATCACTAGTTGACAGGCATGGGGCGATCCGCGGTAGCTCGTTAACAGAGATTTGCAGTGTTGTGGTGTTCATGTCATTTCAGATTAACGCTGACAGCACTAGTGGGAACACAACGAATATGACTGCACATTTACGCCGACATCATCCTAGTGCAAAGACAAGTGGAAGCCGACAAAAACAACAAGCACGCATGCTACAAACTTTACCAGAGTCATTTAGACAGCCGTTAGCACATGATTCTCCTTATGGGGACCTGATATGTTTAATATGCTGCTGAGAATTGACCCTGTGCACGAGAAAATAATAACTTCCTGGTTTGAGACTGGATGTGGGGTTGTACATTTCCGGTAGCTTTACTTTGCGGTCAATCGCTACTGCGAAGATATACTCCAAAATCATATCCAAAACTCGAAAACGGAAAGATCCATTTCTCTGTAATAAACTCTCTTTTCCAAAGATGATTGATTTCTCGATCAGATAGATTTATTATTTTATCCCTTTGTTGTTTTAGCAACATTAAATTTAAAAACAGTACTTTTGAGTTAAAATATATATTTGTAATTTTAATAAATGACAAATTAAAAAAGCATGAACATTTTTTTGTATCGAAAAAATATCGAACCGTGACACCAAAGTATCGAACCGAACCGAGAATTTTGTGTATTGTTGCACCCCTACAAAATACCAAAATGGTGATATTGAACACACTCAGTTTGAAGCTTCAAATTGGGATCCTACTGACCAAATGACCAAATCAAATGGTGACTACATTCTTCTTTTATAAAGTCTATGGCTATAGGAGCAAAAACCAGATTAAGAAATTCACTGGCCACACAGGATTTTTTGCTGACAGCCTGTCCAGGGTGTACCATGCTTTTTGCCCTGCTGGCACAGACAACAGCCACACACAACTGCTGAATAAGTAGTTATATAAAAGGATGGGTGCCTGGATGGACTGAGGTTTTCCCATTTTCACATACCCCTGTGGTCATTGGCCACTTTCAATAATGTCTGATTGCGCTGATTTTCAGGTACTCCGGGGTATTTATCTTTAATGTTACACACAGGTGTAATTTTATAAAGCAGGAATATGCATAAGAAACCCATCTTTAGGCGGAGAGTTTGACACACTGTAACACATTATATACTGCAGGAAAATTATTTGCAAGTTGTATATGTAAAATATTACGTTTATTACAGTGTTATCAGCTCACTTTTTAACTTTGATCATTACTGTGCCCTGGAGACTAATTTTAGACTTATATATGTCTTTAAGGAATATTTCATGAGTTTGGGAATCAAATCAGCATGTGTGTCCTGATTTTCTTAAAATTATGAAAAAACGCAATGCAGCATAAAATAATTTAATAGGATGTCCTAGCAAGTCCCCCACATTAAAAATAGAAGTAACTGTTTAATATTGTTTCTGCGCTTCCCTTTTTGTAATATTTCTTTCCCTTTTTGTGTTGCTTCTTTTATTTAGGTTTTTTTCTATCTATAAATCTTACTTGAAACATACATTAATTGAATATAAGTTTCTTAAAACAGCTCATATAAAACAAAATGCTAAAAGGTTGTAACACACTTGAAACTTTTGTGTCAAAGAATAAATCATTTCCACCAAAATTACAAATTCTTCTGCCACTGTTTAAACTCAAGTGGTAAAATAAAAATAAAGATTTTTGTCAGAATGACAGACAATCCTGAACGCGTATTATACCAGAATAATTTCTTTTAAACATCTCAATGCTTTTTTGTAGCCAACTGAATGGATGCTCTTGACATGTCCATTTCAAAAGGACAAGATTTTACATTCTACTTAAAAAAGAAAAAAAGACCACTTAAAGTTCTTAGGGGAAATGTGTCCTTCAAGGATCATACAATGGAGGAAACTACAGTTACAACAGCAAAAACAAAACAAAAAAAAACATTTAAAACTGCTCAGAACAAAACATGTAAACTAGCAGCATCAAAAATCAGATACCGCAGGAGGTAAACATGAGTCTTCTAAGGACAGAGGTACTGTGCTGTGAATCCCTGGCTATCTTGTGGCTCCTTTGGGCCACAGATTCTTATTAACCTCCCCTCTAATGCTCTCTCTTGCATTGTAACAGGAAGATCCAGCAGGAACGCTACATCAATCCTCTGCACTCTTCTGCATATTCCTATATATTCTGTTGTCTTGTCCTCGCTTCACTGCCAGACATTGTCATTCCTCTCTCTGTTTCTTAGGTGGACTTTTTCAGCCATAAAATGCAAATTTGTCCATATATGCTGTTTATTGTAAAACTGTTGTAATCAGGCTTTACAAATGTTGTGCTCCAATTAGAGATCTACATATGTGGGCAGGACAAATATTGACAATTAGATAGTTAGATGGACCAGATTCTAAAAACTTTGCCTGGTCAGATGAGTCTCAATTTCCACCCCAGCATGAAACCACGGATCCTTCTTGTCTTGTACTGTATCAATAGTTTAGAGTCCTGGTGGTGGTGTAATAGTGTGGGAGATATCTTCTTCTTATTGGCACACTTTCAGCCCTGCTTGATTTTCTTTACTGACCATGCCCATCCCTTTATGATCGCAGTGTACCCATTTTCCAGTGACTATTTCCAGAAGGATAAAACACAATGTCATGAAGCTCAAATCATTTCAAATTGCTTTCTTGAACATAAAAACGTGTTTACTGTTTTCAAATGGCCAAAGTTACCAGACCTGAATCTAATAGAGCGCCTTTGGAATGTTGTGAAATTGGAGATTCATATCGACATAGCTGCAGTAACTGCGTGATGCTATCATGTCAGTATGGACCAGAATCTCTGAGGAATGTTTCCAGCATCTTATTATGCATTATGGCAGTTCTGAAGGCAAAAAGGGCAGTCCAACCCAGTACTAGCAAGGTATACCTTAACAAACTGGCTGGTGAGTGTATGTTACACACAAAGATATTTATGTTGCAAGTGCAATGCATTTTTTTCTGTGACTTATTACACAGAATATATTTCAGCGAATAACTTAAAGCTCTCAGTTTTCTTCCCTCAAATTTGTTCGCTGTACACATAATGCACAACACTGAGTAACCAAAGTCATGACCTCTCAAAACCTCTTCCGCTGAAAACCAAGAAAAAAGAAAAAAAAACCTCTCTTGATTATTTCGAACTCTTCACAGACCAAAAGAGAACAGGCTCATGCAAATGTTAATGCAGTCGTGCACGCTCGAGTCCCACGATTTCATCAGAAAACAATCAGAACAAGATTAAACCCAGAACACTTTATGGATGCATGAATTATACTAAAATTTATAGATGGTATGCAGGGTGTGCATATCTTCACTTTTTCCCCCCAGCTTTGTATCAAAAGAGCAGTGTGATCTTTAGTTACCAGAGGTGAAATGATCATTTCTCTGCTAAGGTCACACTAACAAATCTCCCAAGGCCTCATACTGAAAGTCAGCATGTAAACTAATATACTGTACATATACCCCAATGCTAGGAGGTGATATAAAAGGACAGTTTGTTATATGCATATACTGTATTACAGATAAGGTTGCACTTCATTCAGCAATTTAAGCTTGAAAACCAGAGAGACTGCTGGTTAAACGTTTTTACTGGATGTTCCACTGAAACGGCATTTTATTTCTCCCCTTACCAATTTGTTGAAGCGATGTCTACGTCGCTTTAGAACATCAATAGCAATGACATCGCCTTCAGCCTCATACTGTTATATTATGAGCACATTCTGTCTCAAAAATTAATACCCTGCTCCACTTTTGCTCTGAAAAATGTCAGGAGCTCTCTCACCAGTATAAATGTTGGGTGAGGAGCGGGGAGGTTCTTCCACGTAGCCCTTGAAAGCCAAACTGGAAGTGAAAGTGTGGAAGGGAGCCAGATGATAGCTCTTCTAGTACAGGTGGGAATCTTACTGGGGTCCCACACTGATAAACATTCATCAGAAACATGACTTTATATTCGATTGGGCTCATTCATGGTATGTACGATTTTTAATAACAAAAGTGTCTTGCTCACACGTGCCTATTCATACCTGGGAAGAAAATGCATGCATTTACCAATTTACAACACGTTTCTCATTTATGTGAGAGCCGCCAACAAACTCCAGTTTATGTTTTAGCAAAATTGCCAGGAGCAATTCTGCTGCTGTTTGTTTCTTTTCTCTTCCCACAGACACTTCAAATCCAAACTAAATGCTTGAGCCCCGAGGTTTGACTTTCCCTAGAAACACTGTGACTGTCTATTTGTGTATCTTCATGAACACATAATAAAGCAGATTTGAAAACTAGAAGCATTCAGATTGTGAAACATAAAATTGTTTTTTAATTTTTTAACGTAAAAACAGCAACATATTATGAGTTCAGATTTGGAACTAAGCTTTCCAAACAGAATGCAAATATTTATTTTTAAGTTGATATAGGACAACAACAAATATTAAATTCTGAAGCTGAAAAGTGTTTTTGTTCTTCAGAAAACAAGTCCTAATTTTGAGCGTGTTTTCCAGCAACATGTTTTTCTAAAAGCTTGGTTTGAGGGCATCAAAATCTCACTGATTTCTGTCATTAGTGGATACCACCTACCACCTACCACCTGAGCCACAGCAGCCCTCAAGTAATTGCACTGCAGCCCAGCAGCAAAAGCAGCACATTCGATTAGTTGGTGCTTTACTTTCATCAGGTATATTCCAGCAAGACATTGAGGACTATCATGTAATGAATAGAGTGCTGAATCTTAAACAGAAATAATATCTGCTAAAGTAATGCACGTCTAAGTTAACAGTTTTTTAAAACTGTTCTATTGTGAAAGCAATCATCATTTCTCTTTGTATGGAAGTATTAAATGGATTGCAATTATATTGTGAATTATGAGTTATAATAATGCACTCAAAGTAATGACCTGTCTATCAGTAGCAACTGGGAGTCTCTTCCTTGCTTAAGGATACCTTGACATGTAAACATAAAGGGCCAGAAGTGCAGCCTTAACCCTAAAATTATTGGATGATCCCTATTTTTTACTCTCTTCCTGGTACTGTAGCTAGGATCTTTTTAACCAGTCTGGAAATCCCTACTTTCAGCTTCTCCCTCATTGATAGGCAGTCACCCCAAAGGGAAGCTGCACATGTTTGATTTGGCAGCCTTTGGCACCACATGCCCAAAGAGATTTGTGGCTTCTCCCAGAACTGAACTGGGGATACTTTGCTTGAGTGGGGGATGTAATAAACAGCTATACTATACAGGTACTCACACTTGTTGCTCTTATTCACAGATTTTCAGACAACAATTATTGACGAGGTCCAACTGCCTTAAAATGTGTCAGAATGAACATTTCGCTTGCTGGCTGTGGATTCAATATCGATTAGAGGATCTGTAAAGACAGTAAAACAGACAAAAATGATTTTAACAGACAAAAAAAGAAGAAATTGTGCTTATTCACAATTATCTCTCAGATGTTTTTACAGTAACTATGGCAGAGACTGTAATGCCCAGACCACCTCCATGCAGAGATTTGAATTTCTAAAGCATTTCCAGTTGAAGGGTTTTAAAGAAAACCAGTATCCTTTGCTAACTTCAGCAAAGTGTCAATCCCAGGATGAAAGACGAGGCCTTAACCAAGCATTTTCAGACCCAAGCATTTGATCAGAAAACACCTTTAAGTGTTATTCTATGCAAGCATATGGTAAAATATCACTGTGTTCAGTTTTACTTTCTTATTAGATTAACTGATCACTAAATATTCATGATCCACTTACATCATGCTTGACTACAGGATAGATCACGAGGATGCAGTGCCGTCGCTCAGTAGAACTTTTCTCGTCTTTTTTTATCCAGATGTTTATATTTCGCAATGTGACCATCACGGTGCCAGAGAAGTTCACCCAGTGCACCACCCATGGCAGTTTTGTCCAGCGCTGGCAGGAGACCCTTTACAACATGTTCACGTTTGTGTGCCTCTTCCTTCTACCTTTGGCCATCATGATCTTCTGCTACACACGAATCCTCATTGAGATATCCAGCCGCATGGCTCGGAATAACTGTGAGTGTTTACTTTTATTTTTTTCAAAGGCTTCAAAAAACAGTCGTGAAAAAGAAAGTAGACCTGAATTACTCAGTCATTTTTTAGCAGCAGTAGCCTAAGTAATAACTTTTCTGTACAATTTTCTCTCACATTATTTTGGAGGAACTTTGGCCCACTCTTCTTTACTTATGAAATGTTGCTTCAGGTCATTCAGGTTTTGTAGGCATTTGTTTATACAAAGTTCTCTTAAGGTCCCGCCACAGCATTTCACTTAGGTTGAGGAATACGAATGTTTCACGCACAAATCCAAAATGTATTTTTATACCTGAATTTGTTCATATTTTAGGAACAAATTCAGAAATCCCTTCAACCATGCATAAGAACAAATGACAGCATGGTTAAATAGGCCTACTAATAATAACAATAATAATTAAAATTATTATTATGCTTTTTTGGTCATTGTTTACAGTTGTAAAAACCACCTTGAGCCACAAAATGCTCAGAATTACAAAAAAAAGGTATATAAAGAAAATAACATACTGCTGCTAAGGGAAAGCACAGCCACCCTTTGAAAAAAGCTTATTTCCGCCGCTTGTATCGGTTAGTACCCAAAGCTCATGACCATAGGTGATGTTGGAGATCTGTCATCTCCACAACAGACCTGTGCAGCAGCATCACTGCAGTCGTGGCCCTAATCCGTCTGTGAGTTCAAACTTGTTCCATTATCTCTTATATCACCTTATGTTAAATGTTCTTATTAGTCATTTAAAATAGCTTCTATTATTATCATATGTCGTCACTTACAGTATAATTTCTTGGTACCGAAAATGGATTCTTGAGAATGAGGATTTATTTTATTCATTGCAGTGAGTTTCTCATGTGGAGCTGACAGATTAGGCTTACTGGTCCTTGTCCTCCACCTTGTCCTTTTCTACTTTTTCTTGTACTCTGTTAGTATTTTTCATACCAACTTTAATTCCAAACATTTTTTTGCTTGAGGCACAGTAAATGTCTCAGAGGAAATTATATTGAGTACTCCTGTTATTTTAGTTTCAGTCTTGCTTTTTTATTTATATTTTCGTCACTCCATGGAAACACAAAACTAAGCTTCTTCTGGCTTCTTCCTTGCACCTCAGACTCTATTATTCAACTTTCTACATTCAGACTTTCTACTCATTTCATGCCTTAGAGGTTGTTACGTTCCCCTAAAAGGGTCCAGGCGATGAGGGAAAGTAACAAAAGGTGTCCGGGTCAGAAAAAGTAGACAAATTGGCAAAATGGTTAAATGAAAGAGTTTTATTAATAACTTTCTATTAATAACTCAACTAAAAGAGACGGACAAGCCATTTAAAGAAACAAAACAAAACTCAAGCGTCGGTCAGTAAACTGAAAAGCAAGTCAAAAAAGGGTTAGCAAACAAACACACTCATCTCCACCAAGCAGGAGCAAACAATCACAAAACAAAACAATCTCACTAGCTGAAAACACGCAAACACACAGCTCACTAGCTGCAACCACTCACATGACACTCTGCCACCAGAGCTCACCTTTCTCTGCCCTTAAATACCTTTAATTGCTGATGTGAGTCAGCTGTACAAAAGAAAAAGGTGGCACTAAGGCAGGAAAGATGCCCAACTTCAGGAGGAGGCCCTAATAGGGCCGTAACACCCCCTCCCATAAATACAACCCCGTGGTTTTTCAAATTGTTCTACCTGTTGCAATAACCAAAACAACAACCAATCAAGTCCGTAATCGTTGCATCACCAAATTGTAGGCTTTCCACCTACCAAACCCCATAGCAACGGTTAGGCATTGCCTGCAGAAGCTGCCAACCCCATCTCAATGGGTTCAAAACACTGACTGAGGCTTCTCTCTTACAACATCTTGACTGATTTTTCTGCTTCACCTCAAGGTTAAAATATTTAATTATATAGAGAAACAGGTACTGAGCAGTGGCGATTGCGCAAAGCTGCTGGATGATTCTGATCTTCTAAAATACGCATAGTGGTGGGAACAAAATATGCCCGTTTCATAAGTTCGACAGTAATTTTGCCTTCCAACAGATTTTTTTATGTAGATTTCCATGAGAATATTAGTAATTGAGTCCCAAAGTCCTGTTGCATGTTTGGCTCAATGTTTTCAAGGTTCCACAGGTGCTGTGCCAGCAAAACCAGCCCAAATCCTCCCCTGTCCACCACCACTAACAGCTGGTATGAGGTGTTTGTGCTGATTGTGTTTTGTTTTCTCCAAATGTGGCACTGTGAATCATGGCCAAACATTTCCACTTTTGGCTCCAAGTCTTGTGGTTTGTTCACATTGCAAGCTTAAGCTGTGCTGCCATGTTGTTCTCAGTGAGCAGAGGCTTTTTCTTGGCAGTCCTTCCAAAAGGGATCATATTCATCATAACGTAACATGCTAACTGAGACCTGTAGAGTCTTTAGATGCAGCTCTTGAGCTGCTGTACAGTTGACCTTGCGGTGACTTTGATGATATGTCCACCGCTGGGAAGATTTTGCATCATGTGAATAGAAATCTAAATGCTCCAGTCCAAAACCTCTACCAATTTTTTTGCTTTAACAGAGGTGCTTACACTTGCTGATGAAGACTTAATCAAGTGAATCATTCCTATGGATTGCAGTAAGGGTGCATAGAGTGCTGTGAACAGGCTTTTCTTCACATGAATGTATATTTTCAGGGAGACATGGAGTAACGGACGTGGTGCTTTCTTTTCTTCCAGTCCTGTCAAGAGATGTTCATCTACGCCGATCCCACAATAACATCCCTAAAGCTCGGATGAGAACTCTTAAAATGAGCATTGTCATTGTGACGTCATTCATCATCTGCTGGACCCCGTACTATCTGCTTGGATTGTGGTATTGGTTGTTCCCTGAAAAAATGGAAAAGACAGTTTCGCATTCACTGACTCATATGCTGTTTATTTTTGGCCTTTTCAATGCCTGTCTAGATCCCATCACCTACGGTCTGTTTACCATTCATTTTCACAAGGGTATGAGGAGATGCCGTCAAAGTTCAAACGCACGGACTGAATTAGAAAACAACACTCGCCTTGTACAAATGAGTCGGCTGTCCTCTCGCAGGCAGATTGCCTCAGATGTTCACAGTGCAAGCACAGAGGTGGTAAGAGAAAGCAACATCATGAAGCATGTCTCAAACCCAGACATGTCAATCAGCAAGATATGATGGCTTAAATAATTCCATAAATGAATGTGTTTCTCTCAATGAAATCTTTTTGTGTTATAAATCTGTTCATGTTCCACCGATATAATTGATGTTGTATTATAGCTTACCTTGAGTTCAATAATCCTGTGGTTTCTCACACTTAATACATCGAAGGCCTCTTATATGATCTGAAAGAGCACTGCCACATTGGCTGAGGGTGACTCAGTACAGACAGATTAAATGTATTAAATGTGAGCCTATGCAGCATGTTGTTGATACTGACTGCATGTCCAAAATCAGTTCTGTGTTTAATGTGCTGCACCAAAATCTGACTCGAGTGAAGGCTCTAAAAAACATCTTTGAGGAGATCCATTTGGATATTTCACATTAGTATTAGTGTAATCTGTGTTGCTTTCTGTGACTGAGGCTAAAGAAAATATCTGGCTTTTGAAGCTTTGTATTAAAAAGTTATCAGTAAATCAAACATCACATAAACCTTTGCTCCCTCAAAATGGTGGTCATTAGTAAATGTTTGCATGGTGCTGCTTCTGTTCTGCAAGATGTTGTAATGTGAATGTATTTATGTGTTTATTTATTGAATAAAAACTTCAGCTTTTTGCTTAATTCACAAACAGTAAGAGATTTCCCACCAGTTTAATGTACATCTGTCATCAAAATAGAGCAATGCAGTGCATCTGATTAAAAATAATAATAATAATACTACAAATCCAGTTGTTGTAATCTTACATTTTCTAATGATTAACTTCTGTTTAGATTTAAGAATGAATTCATACAGTCAGTTAAACCTTATGATATAAATCTGTGTAGTTAGGAATTTCAACAGCTTTGGTGCAAATGAAAGACACAAAAGGTGCAACAGAGAGGAAACAACAGGTTAACTATAAACAACAACAGAAGATTTTGCAGGTGGTCACAGATCGTTGCTCTTTTTTTATCCCCCACAAAGATATCAAAGATATTTCTCTCTCAGATCATCAATGCCCGACTGGCAGGCTGGTCATGCTGTATGATGTTGCAGGCAGCGAGCTTGGTTATGGTGTCTCCAGGATGTCACGTGTGTCTCAGTGATGAACTTGCTCTCATCTATGCAGAAAATATTGCACGTACACAGGTACAAATTTGAGAAACACTGGGAAACATCAACTGATGACAGATTGAATCAGGCTGTTTTACAATAATTGGAGTCCTTGTCAGGGTAAGCCAGTTTTCTTTGAAAATCCAAGAATTTCTTTAATGAGATAATACGCATGTAAAATAACATTAAATGGCAGCAGTGAATGAGACTTGGCTCCAGCCACGGTCTCTCTTTGTTTAATTGGATATTTAGTCAGATTTAACATTCCCGTAACTATAAGCTGATCTCTTCTTCTGTGTTCACTGCCAAAATAGCAAAAAATGCTCATAAGCCATTTAAAGATTAAAACAAGTTGCACTAGTTCACATTTTCATCATTCATCATCAGCTAATCTCTTGTGTGACTTTATTGTGGTCATAATTAAAGCGCTCAACCTGGAAAAGTTGCTTGACAGTCCCTGCAGATACATGGATAAGCACTGCTTTTTAACTTCTTTTTTTTTTTTATCAGATTATACCCAGCATTTTGCACTATCCAAAGCTCTGCCTTTTATTGGGATACGCAGAGCTGTACTTCATAATGTTTCATCATCATCATCGTTTATTTATATAGCACTTTAAAAACACACAAGGCTGACCAAAGTGCTGAACAACAGAAACATAATAGATACCATAAGAATAATAAATACGATAAATAATAAATAAATAAAATAAAATAATAAACATAGCGAAAACAATAAAATACAAGTCAGTCAACCACTGAATCAAAAGCCAGTGAATAAAAATGCGTTTTCAATCTGGATTTAAAAACCATCACTGATGTCGATTGCCTAATGTGAAGAGGAAGATTATAACAAAGCTTAGGAGCCACAATAGAGAACGTCTCCTCTCAGTTTCAACCGTGATTTGGGGACTGAGAGCAACAGCTGCTCAGCTGACCGGAGCGAACGAGTGGGGACATAGGGCTTCAGCAAATCAGACAGATACGCAGGTGCCAGACCATTTAAAGATTTAAAAACCAATAAAAGAACTTTAAAATGAATCCTAAATTCAATTGGAAGCCAGTGCAGGGAGGCCAGAACCGGAGTAATGTGCTCAAATTTCCTTTTACCAGATAACAACCGCGCTGCAGCATTCTGTACTAGTTGCAGGCATGTCAGAGTGCCTGGTCCAACCCCTATTAAAAGGGAGTTACAATAATCCAAGGGTGAGGTTATAAAAGTGTGGATAACAGTCTCCAAGTCACGCCTTGAAAGAAAGGGTTTAACCTTCGACAGACGCCTGAGTTGATAGAATGACGATTTCACCACCCCATTCACGTGGCCATCAAAGGTAAGTGCAGAGTCATTTTTAACCCAAGATTGGTAATCGAACTCTTCAGGTGAGGGGTCAGAGCAGCAAGGTCAACATCAGGGATATCAGATGAACGATTCGGGCCAAACAGAATTGCTTCCGTTTTACGTTCGTTAAAATTAAAAAAAATTTGAGCCATCCATGACATAACATCACTAAGGCAATCAAGCGGGAGTCTAATTTGGGAGCTATCAGAATGACTGAAAGGAAAATAAAGCTGGCAATCATCAGCATATAGATGAAATGAAACTTTATGTTTACGAAAGATCGCACCCAGTGGCAGGAGATACAATGAAAACAGTAATGGCCTAAGAATAGATCCCTGTGGTACACCCCATGACAGAGGGGCCACAGAGGACGATGACAAGCCCAACTTAACACAGAAGCTCCTGTTTGAGAGATATGATTTTATCCACAGGAGTGCAAAGCCAGAAATGCCCACACAATGCTGCAATCGAGAGATCAGCAGGTCGTGATCCACTGTGTCAAATGCAGCAGTCATATCTAGTAGTATAAGCACTACGTGTTTACCACAGTCCGTCGCTACCAGAATATCGTTCATAACCTTTATGAGAGCTGTCTCTGTGCTATGAAACGGCCTAAAGCCGGACTGAAAAACTTCAAACATATGAGAGTTGTTTAGAAAATCCATCAGCTGAGTGTGAACAACCTTTTCCAAGATCTTACTCAGAAAAGGAAGTTTAGAGATGGGTCTAAAATTTGACATTACTGAAATATCTGAGCCTGGCTTCTTAAGTAAGGGATGAATAACTGCATGCTTAAACTCACTTGGTACTTGACCTGACAAGAGGCTGGTATTGATTATGTTTAAAATATGTGGTCCAACAGTAGGAAACACCTCTTTCAGAAAACGGGGTGGAACGACATCATTCGGAGAACCACACGGTTTAGCACTTAACACAAGCTTCTCTAGTTCAGGTAGAACAATTGGTTGGAAAGCAATGAGCAAATTTAAACAGGGAACATGCACAGCCGGGCCAACAGAAGATTCATGAGTGATCTTTTTTTTTTTTTTCATTGTTAATGCTGATAAATTAAGTCTTATGCTGTTTTAATATCAGAATGCAAGGCAAGCTTTCTGAACCTGTATACTGCCAATATGACAAGTGGCATTCAGAGTGAAATACTCATTAGTGACCTGCAGGAAAAATGCTATGCTAGAGCGGATGATAAGGTCATTAATTCTGGCAGATCAGCCTCAATGGCATTTTTTCTGCTAAGTGATATGAAACCTAGCAGGAGATGGTTGGCTTGACTTTTGACTTTTTCATTAAGTATATTTTATTTAAAGCCTGGTTTTGCTTCCTTTATACCCCAGCTCTCTCCCATCTAAATGACATCATGTCTGGTTCTTAAAAAAAGATGCTTTTAAATTCCAAACCTCAGGCTGGAACATCATATTTTCACAGTCCAACAGTTAATCTTACTCTAGCTACATCCATTTCTTATTTACAGCCCATGGTAAACTATAGTCTTTATTAATTTTTTTTTAAATTCATATGCATTCGTTTTTTTTAAGTACACTAATAATAATAAAAAATACAAACAATATTGAGTCTTACAAAATGTCGCATTGCAGTAAAACAAACAAAAGTAGTGCACAGCTGGAAGCTTATGTGTCTGCTGCAGTTGCTTGATGTACTCAATTTAGTACACCCATTCAAGTGTGTTGTTTATGTAAATCATGTAGCAGCAGCTCAGTGCATTTAGGCATAAAGACATGGTCAAGATGAACTGCAAAGCTCTAATAACCAGTTGTTACAACAGAAGTATGCAGAAGAGCATATGTCAAACCTTGTAAAGGTGGACTACACCTGCAGAACACCATGCCAGGTGCAACTCCTGTAAGCTAACGACAGGAAACTGAGGCTACATTTCGCATGGGCACTTCAAAACCTTATAGAAGACTGAAAAATGTTCCCTGGTCTGGCAAGTCTAATTTCTGTCAAACAGTAGGGTCAGAATTTGGAGTAAATAACATGAAAGCATGTCTTCTACTAGTGCTTCAGGCTGCTACTGCTGTTGACCATGTTCATCCCTCTATGACAACAGTGTACAGATCTTTTGATGTCTGCTTCCAGCAGGATAATGCATCACATCACTAAGTTCAGATAATCTCAAACTGGTTTCTTGAACGTTATACTAATAAAGATAATAATAAGCTGCTATAACTCTTTGGGATTTTATTTTAAAGGTCACCAGGTGACACTAACTGGCAATATCTGAACCACCTATCTATTAAAGAGAACCCCACCAGTGAAAAATGTTATTATTGTAAGGGGTGTGGGAGAAAAATGAGACTAACAACCCAGAGCACCAATGTGGTGAGACTGCTTCTTATTAAGTCATTAGGGTGTTATGAAACCAGGCTGGTTTTTTTGCTTTCTTCCTCTTCTTTGCTCTCACGTGGAGTTGGAAAAGTATCTCTTCCAGCTACTCATCCACATCCAGTCCAGGTCCATTCCTGCAAAAGAGAAATTGTGTTTTTACCTACTTGAAAACGTGCCTGCCCATCCACTCCCCTCCATCTCTTTATGTCCTAGGAAAATATG